TTTTTCCTCTCGAAATTCAATTCTTAATTTTTTTAAATTCTAATAAGGATATTATTAGAAAATAAATGCGTGATTTTAGTTAGTATTTGGGGGACTTCCAAGAATCTGGAGAATGAAAGCCTTCATTTAAGATAATCATTAAGTTATTACCTTTTTGTAGTTACGCGTGCATAAATCTATAAGTGTACTTCTTCAAAACAGATAACCAAAGCATAGCAAAAATAGTACTTTTCGGTTCATTTTCACAGCTGGGATTTAAAAGAAATTTAAGTTTGTTTTCTATTCCAGAGAATCGTTAGATCAGAGAGAAGAAAAAAAAGAAAAAAGTGGGAAAAGCGCCAACCACAGTTACAAGAACTACGAACTCTTGTTGAAATTGCATTCCTGATTGCTTTAATTTTACTTTGCCTTGAATTAAAACAAAGGCTCATCTAGTTGGCATTGTTACACTTAATAATGAGGTTAACAGCACATTAAAATTACATAATGTTTTGATATAATGAGCGATTTTTTTTTTTAATTTTGCATTTAAAGCGATCAAAAAGGGAGATATGGGCTTATCCAGACTTTTTACGGGGCTCATTTTTGAGAAAAATTTAAATATTTTTTGAAAATTTCTTAATCATGTCAAACGTAAAACATTCCATTTAAACAGTCACCATACTTCATGCATAATTAATGTCTAGAATATTTATGTTTAGAGTTGTTTTTAAATACTTTTGCTGCTTCAAAAGTATTTAAAAACAAGTACAGTAATTTAATAAAATTCTAAAAAATAAACATACTTTTATAAAAGGTAGCTTCGGTTAATTTTTGCGAACATAATCTTGAAAGGGGATTGTTTTCATAAATTTGAATTTCATGACGAGGCCATTTTCACGAATTTGAATTATGTGAACAGACAGTAAAGCGGTCTCAATTACTTCTGAAAATTGTTTTTTTTTATTTTACACAAATGTGCTTCATTAAATGTTCCTTAAATTGAAATAGTAGGTTAAGTCTAAAGTTTCTATCACAATATGCATCTTACAAATTAAAAGATAAGTTTCTTAACTATAAAGTGCATCAAAGATGCAGTGCAGCGTAAGAAGATAACTACAACCAAGCACCTTTAAGGGCATTTAAAAAACGAAAATCAAAAATAAGCACCTTTAAGTACTTTTTAAAAACGCTACGCACCCCGAATAACCACTATAATTTGTTGATTGAATTTTAATCGGGCCCTCAGCATTTCAGAGTTCAGGTCAATTGTCCCTCACTCCCCCCTCCTTGAGTGCGGCCTTGACTACATCACATGTAAAATTATACGCATAATATTCCGAAATGGTCACATAAACTAAAAATGTCTTACTTTTTCACCGAAATTCCAGAATTTCGAAATTTCACATAGAGTTAACACATGTACCCGGTCTCGGTGAATTTACTTTTTTTTCTTTCAGAAAATAGTACATCTATGAGTTGGGATGAAAAATCATAAAAACAAGTAGTACATCTATGAGTTGGGATGAAATCATAAAAAAAGTAGTACATCTATGAGTTGGGATGAAATCATAAAAATAGTAGTACATCTATGAGTTGGGATGAAATCATAAAAAAAGTAGTACATCTATGAGTTTTCAGGAATGATGTAAACAATATATATCTTGATTAAATCTGTAAGTTCCTAGGCCGAACAATTTAGTTCCAGCAGGCCTTCGAATCGTAGTAACCCGGTCTAAACCCGACTTCCCTTTATAGATAAACAAGTTTTTATGTAACCCCATATTAAAATAACAAAGCAAAGTATTGCATAGTAAATAAATATCAAACGTCCTATAAATTTAAACTGAATTTGAAAAAGAAATAACTGCAGTTTAAGTGTTTTGTATCTGATACATTTATGATTAGGTTAAGGAGTTTTTATTTTACGCGTTACAATCATAGACTAAGGGAAATAATGCTAAATTTCACAACTTCCATCGCCAATTGACCCCAAAGTAAAATGACACACTCACGTGACTAGCTACGAAATCGCCCTTCTATCTCTGTAAATGTGGTCTAAAATATAAACAGCTGTTTATTTGAGTGCTCTTTGAATTTAAAACAGAATTTACGGCATTCATTGAAAATTTTATAGTTCTGTCTAGCTATCATTTTTCAAATGCATAAGTTTTACACAATTCAAATAAATAATATTTATTTATTATTTTTAAAAAAATGACGAAACTTTTTAAGCTAATTTATATTGATGTTCATAATTGTTGAATACATAAAAAAAAGGCATTTGGTATCGCATTTGATTGGCTGCTAAATTTATATTTTATTTAGAAAAACCTGAGTATTTTCAAATTCAAAAAGCCAATTCAGTCGTAGAATTATGAAAATTAAAAAGAAAAATATTTGCAGTTAATTCAGTCAAATGTTCCTTTAAAGAACAGGCTAATAGATGAAACGGACCGTGCCGGATGTAGTTTATTTACTAAAATTAATTCATTAAGTTAAAGCATAAGTTAGCTTGCAAGTGATCTGCAATCTGAAAGAATTTGAAAAACAGCAAAAGCCTATTGAATAGTGTTGGGCGAAATTTAGATTTCAATATGGCGATATATCAATATTTCAATATATATCACGATATTTTTTTGTTATATTGGTACATATTTTCCTCATCAAAATTAAATATATCAAAACACAAGATTATATCAAGGCTTCGTAGAAGGCTCAAGAAAAAATCAGAACATTTTTCAAGGAAATCAGGACACTTTTCAGAAAAGTATACATATATGATACTTTTAAAAAAGGCGAACGGTGAACTAAAAAGTGTAATTTGCTCTATTTGAGTGCAATACAAGCAAATTTTACCCCAGAAAAATAATAATAAAAATTATCATTTTTAAATTCAGAATTAGTTTGTTTAGAATATAAAGTTTCCAGTATAATGTTACCAATACCGAATAACACATAATTATAAATCTCAAATCAATCCATGTAAGATTTTATAGCAATTTTGCATTAAAAAATAAATAGTATCAATTTAGAAAATATTCTCTCATATCAATATTAAATTAAAAATTGTTCAAAACTTCTTTAATCAAATAATTTTAAACTAAGGTTTCCATAATCTCAAAACGTAACACAAAATATGCCGATGCTTTACAATCTTGTTATTAAAGTAATCTAGTGGAAAGTTCCTCTATTAACCATTTAAAATTATATAAGATTACTATATTGTTTATTGGAATAAATCCTTTTTAACATCGGATGAAAGGAAAAAATAAATTATAGTGAATCTACAAAACTTCACTCTACAATATTTGTTACTGTACGACCCCTGAATTAATCACCTAAAAATTTGATAATGTTGATTTCTTAAATAAGTATCGTTTTTATAAAATGACTGCTTTGAAAGTTAGAAACAATAATGAATCCTGCAGGTAAAATTATATCCCAGAACTATGTTTGTATATACTCACAATTAGTGAACGGTCCCTGAGTGTATCAAATTTCTGCAATTTTTATAAGCATTATAGATAAAAAAAGAAAGATGTTTGATCGAAATTGGGGCAATTATGGACGAAATATTTTTTATACGAAATATAAGAACTACTATGAAACCCTGAATGCCGCATTCGATAGATCTAATAATTTAACCTTTTACTGACGGCTGGGAGATAATTGGATCAGAATAACTTCATATGCTAAGTGAGCAAAAGGTTAAATTCCCTCTTAATAGCCAGTGTCCAGTAGACTCCAATAAATTAGTAGCTTATTTTTCCTCAAACCTAATGAGTCGGTGACCGATATCGATAGGTCCTTTTCATTTAATAGCCACTTTTCATTTAATAAACATTTATTTTTTGCTGGATTAAATTGATATTTTTAAATGCAAATTTAATATTAGAAATAAACTACGGCTATAAAAAGTTAATTCAACAATAAAAATAATATAAATATATGACGAAATTTAGTTAAACATACTGGCTTTAAAGATTTTTATTTAAAAAATATTTTGCGAGGCAAAATACATTTAATGTATACATTAACTTTTAAATATGTGAATTGTTAAAGAACTCTTCTTCCACGTGAATCTTTCCATCACAAATAGATGGATTCTGAAGAATTAAAATTTTGAATGGAGACATTAGACATATTAACAACTTTGAAATGTGTGAATTGTTAAAGAACTCTTCTTCTACGTGAATCTTTCCATCACAAATTGATGGATTCTGAAGAATTAAAATTTTGAATGGAGACATTAGACATATTAACAACATTGAAATATGTGAATTGTTAAAGAACTCTTCTTCTACGTGAATCTTTCCATCACAAATTGATGGATTCTGAAGGAACAAAATTTTGAATTTAGACATTGGACATTTTAACAACTTTGAAATATGTGAATTGTTAAAGAACTCTTCTTCTACGTGAATCTTTCCATCACAAATTGATGGATTCTGAAGGAACAAAATTTTGAATGGAGACATAGGACATTTTAATGAAAATTCTGTTTTCCCTAGTCCTTCTGTGTGGAGGTACTTTTATCATTAAATGATTTTCAATAAATAAAGACACGATCTAAAAGAGTGACCGGTTGTTCATTTAAAAGTCGCCACCTTTTTTTGTACACTAGCCACGTGGCGAGAGCGTATTTTCAGATCTAGTATTCGATAACTATAGTCATCAATAAAATTCGCGACACTACTGCATTTGATATTAATAGTTATACATAATGATCACGATATTTATCGTTGATGATAATGATCGTGATGTTAATGTAAAAAATGGTGGTTACGATAATATCATCAGAATTATTTTTAAAAAATTTCGATACGTTATATTTAACAATATGTATCCCAGCTCTAATTCTGAAATAAATACATTAATAACTTTTTAGAACTGCTTTATCGTTTTTTTTTTAACGGTAACTACTTATTGGCGTATCTTGGGAATTAATACAGCTATTAATCGAATCTCAAAGTCATCGATTATAGCCAATATTTACAATTAATATAAGTTTGACTTACCTCTTTCGGCTCGGGTGGAAATGCAAATCCAGTCTCCTCAGTTCTTGGAGTCTGGATTGCAGTTAAAGGGGCAGGAACGGGTTTTGTCATTTCCTGCAAAATAAGAAAAATAAATTAATACGACACCAAGATATTAAGCTATTTCAATTAAATATAGATTTTAAACGAATTTTATTTTTATTGTAATAAAAAGTTGATGACACGGATATATTTATAGCAGTTTCTGCTTCGTATAAGAGCCCAATTCTAAATACTAAAAAGAACCAGTATCTAGGAATATATTGATTAGCAAAACATATGTGGTATATATCCATTTAGATTTAACATGAAGTTAGCATTAGAAGAAAAAAAAATTTTAAAGTAAATTTCATAGTTCAGAGAAAAGCTGCATATTTTAATGACGTATATTATTTTTATTTTAAAAAAATTGTTTACCTTGCACCTTATATTTAAATCTTTAAATTACAAACTATTAGAATAGCAGTTCAAAAACTTTTTCAAGAAAAGATGAATTACTTGAAAATTTATCTCACGAAGTAGAGTAAAATATGGCTTAAATACACGAAAAGTATCGACAGGCGTTTAATGTAATGCAAACTGCAGTGTGCAGTCATACGAGTATTGTAAACAGGTTGACGATAAACAATCAAGGCAATAAAAATTTTCTGTGAAATTTATGCATTTTATTTATTAAACAAATTTGAGAAGACAAGTTTATTCCAAATAATCACAGATTAATATCGCATTTCACAAAATAATACAAAAAAATTTTTTTACAAAATTTGAAGGGTGAAAAATGAAACTTTTGAAAATATGAAACTAAAATTTTTACTAAAAAATGTAGAGAGCTTCCATCAATCGTGTATTGTCATAATTAGTTTACTTTATTCATGAAAAGACAAATTCCGATAATTTTAACGAATAAAATGTTTAAAGCGATTCTAAAACCTGTCACTTTAAGATCGATATCATGGTTTATAATTAGGGTTGCAAGTTTCTGCTAAAAAAATTTATATTTAACTTTTGAAATTTTAATATTTAATATTTTTACACAGAATTGTAAAAACTTTTCTTGTTAATGTACGCTGCAGTGCAATAGAAGAACAACGTAAGTTCTTCATGTTAGATTTCGAGATAAGTGGCTTAACTATTTTCTCTCCTCTGCTATAGTATTAGCAACGATAAAATAAAAGTTCAGAAATGTAATAAAAAAAATTAACTATATATTTTATATTAATTAATTAATTATTTGTTTTTGCAATATGTAGTTTATCATACAAAAAGGCCACATAGATACAAATCTCTTTCTTTTTTTTTTTTTTTTTTTTTTTTTTTTTTTTTTTTTGTTGCTTACGTTGATTTCTCCAATGCATGGCAATATGCCGTGCACCAAATATACGTTTGCCAGCATTTCTACACAAAGGATTTCAAAACTTTTATTTTGGTATATTTTCTGGTTAAGTCCATATTTTTTCCCCTTTTGCTTCATCTAAAAAAATCTTCCAAAGATAGAATAGAATTATCAAAAAGGGTAACAATATGTTTGCTAAAAATTGAATATATAAGTAAAATATGATGAATCGTTAGATGAGTGTTTTAAGTACTACACAGAGAAGGCTCCCACTTGGGTCTAGGTTTCATGATAAATTGTACTCTGGCTAAGCCAAAACCTTGACAAAATCCTTCATCAAAAGAATTGGCGACATGTTTAAAAAGCGGTTGTTTGAACAAAGTTGGACGATTTTGTAAATTTTCAGAATTTAATCGATTAATCATTGAATACATTTATACATATAACAGAATTGATCATTATACTTTATTTAGAAATCCATTTTATTGGAGAATAAAGTTGCATAATACTTCTAGGTATTGAAGCATGTTGAAAGTCAAATGACATTGTTATAGTGTACTTATTTTCTTACCATTTTTTTTATTGGTTATTGTTACGATACCACGAACTAGCATTTTCCTTGTTTTCTCAGTGATCAGACAAGGAAATAACATTCGTTATTATTAAAAAGTTACATACAAACAAAATAAATGGTTAAGAATTTTTGGATGTTTTCCTTTTTGAAGATAGAATACACTTTTTGAAAAATCAGCTTTACTAACTCAACATTTTTCTGCATTTATAACAATTGTATTTCTAATATCTATTTAAGCGCAAGAAACACTTAATTGGTCAAAAACTTAATACTGGAATTAAAATATTTTTAACTGCTTAGTTGTAAGAAAGAAAAATAAATACTAAAATTAAGTTACAACGTGTTTTATTTGTTTATTTGTTTGTTTTAATGTGCTAGCAATCCAATAAAAAAATCTATTTTAAGAAAAATTTTATAAAAAGGAAAGATTATCGATATTGAATAATGTAATTACCAAATGGATGAAAATAAGTTACAAAATAAAATGATTTTATGCCTTTTTGATTTATCGATACGTATTTGATTACCTGGATAAAAACAAATGAGTCAAATAATGAAATGGTTACAAATAATAGTATTGTAAGCAAATCATTCCAAGGAAAAAACTTGCCTCTTGAAACATAAAAGTTCAATATTATCAAGCACTACTGCAAGTGATCTGGCAATAACAACCTCAGGGATGTTTCCCAGACCGTCGCCAATAGCCCATTGTGCAGCTCTAGTGCGACGTAAATTAATTACAACAACAACTGGCAATAATAACAGCACAACTACAAATATTCGCTCTCAAAAAATTAAACTTGTATCCGAGTTGCCTGAATGGATAAAGCAAAAAATATCGAAAATATAGACATTTTTTAAACATCTCCATACGGTGGTTTAAAAAGTATTATAAATCATGATACGCGGTAAATCATGAATACTATTTCTTACAATACAAATTTCTTGATTAAAAAAAGGCCAAGAAAAAAATATTTTTAAATATATTTTGTCATTTAATTAATTTAATTAAGTAATAGCAAAGCAACAAATTTCTAATCATATTAGGTGGAAATTTAAAATAACTAAGTCTTATTCTCAAAAATTCAAAATTTTTAGCAGATTTGTAAGACTGATTTAACCAAAACGAGAACCCAAAAAAACGTAAAATGTAATATTGATGCAACGAAATTTTAACTAAAGAAAAAACTAAGTTAATTCAAGCAACAAAGGCATAACTTCCGTTCAAGGTAAATTTGATCGGATCTACCCTACACAATGCAAATCACTTCTAAAATATATATTTTACTTTAAAACCTGAAGTCTTGTAAATCCTAGGTTTTACCACAAAAGCTTGGTAAAAGCCGAAATGGAATCACATTAAAGCATACTTCGAATTTTTACCAAGCCACTTCGGTAAAAGCTAGATTTTGCCGGCAAAAGCAAAGATTTACCAGATTTCGGGTTTTCACCATAACAAATGTAAAAGACTGAAGTCTGGTAAGTTCTAGGTTTTACCGCAAAAGCTTCATAAAAGGTCGAAATGGAATGATATTAAAGCTTTTGGTAAAAGCTAGATTTTTCCGGTAAAACTTATGATTTATCAGACTTCGAGGTTTTACAGTTATTACGGGATCGGATTTTACCGTAACAACTCCAAAAGCCCGAAGTCAGGTGAATCCTAGATTTTACCCCAAAGGATTGATAAAAAGCCGAAATGGAATAAAAAAGAATACTTCAAGTCACTTTGGGTTTTTACCGTAGCACATATAAAGAAAAGTATAAAAGCTTTATTCGGGTTTAATAAAGATCATTTACAGGAGTTGGCAGCGTATAGAAAGATAGGAAGTAAAAGCAAACAACCAATTATAATACTGTCTCTAACTCAAACAATAGCTAAGACAAGAATCGTCTCAATTTGGAGACAATTGTGCCCTCGAATCGGCATCTTGTCAGAGAGATAAAAATCATATCTTAAAAACTTGATAAAATTACTGCGATTTACTACATTTTTCAACACGTGCAGCCATATAAACAAACTTATAAATTAGATTTGAGGATAAAATCAGGTTCCCTAACATTCATAAGTTGCTTGAATGATTTATTTCAAAAATGGCCATTTAAAATTTCTAGAATTTCTTTATTAAATATAGCATTTGACTTCGCCATTTACGTTTTCAACGAAACTTAGAATATTGAATAATATATACACAGTTATAAAAAAAGAAAAGGGAAAAAACTTTAATCCGAAGAAGAGAAAAACAGTTGTCTTGTATTATGCTAAAGAGCATCGAGCCTGGAAAAGATCTGTAATGGGAGATGGCAGTTTGCAGAAAGAAGGAAGAAGTGGCATGCAACTAAGCCATAACACCGTTCACAAGCTCAAACAAGATACCGATCGATTTTATGGCTTTGTTACTTTATTTCCAGCAACGTAGGGCACGTATCTTATTTCTCCCCTCTTCAATGCTGTTTTATGTTTTTTTCCTAAGTGAAAAAATATGTTTAAAAAATTTCAAAAGTATGAGATTACTTCCATCAGCTAACTTAAACATAAAGTTAATGCAAAATTATACTTTCTGTTACCAGCATTGAAAAACATAAATAAAGTAATCTCCATTAATATTTTTTCTTACCAATCTGTAAGATGCTTTTATCCCTTTTTTCAGTAGTTTTCTTACCGGGAGCTATCTTAGAAATTTTTAAGTCAACATGAGCCATGGTAAGAAGAGCATATTAATTTGAATAACAGCCATATTGATAAAACTGGTATTCATTGTTAGATTTGATAACTTGAGATGTTTAGATTTAAAAATCAGCTTATTCAATTTTCAGACATTTTATAAGGAGAAAACATTTCTTTTTCCAAAAATTTATATGCAAAACTTTTGAGTCCATGTTTTTAAAACTATGAATTCTTCTTCACATCCGAATATTTTATTTTTGGGCAATAAAAAGGAAAAAATTTATTTCATAGCATCAAAATTAACACACGCATGTATATGTAATGTATTTTAAATTTCCATTACATTAATTTTCCATTTCTTTTTAATTAATTAAATTTGTGAAGAAGAAAAACTTTTATTTAAGTAAGACGAATATATCATATTTATACATAAACAAGGAAAAATATTTAAGGAATTTAAAATACTGCCTAATGTTGCAATTTATCAAAAAGAATTGTTTAAA